CTAATTTTTTTCCTGTCTGTCCAATGTAATGTTTGTCGCAGTCTTTGCAAGGAATCTTGTATATAACATTGGTTCTATCCATAGTGGGTAATGCGTCTTTGGTTCGGGTTAGCGGTTGGCATAGGGTTGATGTGGGTTTGTGTGCCACTCTGATGCCCAGTGGTCGTAGGAGTCTTGTGGTCAGTTCAGATATGTTCTTGATGTATGGTAGTGCCTTAGGGCATGCCCTATCTTCTGAGATAGTAGGAACTGCAGATGCTGGAGAATCTGAGATAACAAGGTGTAGAGCTGGATGAACACAGCAGGCCAAGCAGCATCAGAGGAGCAGGAAAGCTGATGTTTTGGGCCTAGACCCTTCTTCAGAAATGGGGGAGGGGAAGGGGGTTCTGAAATAAATAGGGGGAGGCGGATAGAAGATGGATAAAGGAGAACGTAGGTGGAGAGAGACAGACAGGTCAGAGAGGCGGGGGTGGAGCCAGTAAAGGTGAGTGTTGGTGGGGAGTTAGGGAGGGGATAAGTCAGTCCAGGGAGGACGGACAGGTCAAGGGGGCGCTTGGGGTCTGCTTTGTGGAACACCTATGCTCGGTTCGCAACAAACAACTGCACCACCCAGTCGCGAACATTTCAACTCCCCCTCCCATTCCTCAGACAACATGTCCATGCTGGGCCTCGTGCAGTGCCACAACAATGCCACCCGAATGTTGCAGGAACAGCACCTCATGTTTCGCTTGGAAGCCCTGCAGCCCAATGGTATCAATGTGGACTTCACAAGCTTCAAAATCTCCCCTCCCCCAACCACATCCCAAAACCAGCCCAGCTTGTCCCTGCCTCCCTAGCCTGCCCTTCCTTCCCACCTATCCCCTCCTCCCACCTAAAGCCCCATCCCCATCTCCTACCTACGAACCTCATCCCACCCCCTTGACACAGTACTTTACTCAGTAGGGTAATATTATGGGGACAAACTTTAATGAGCATTTTCTACTACAGAAAATTATCATCTATTATAAAGAAAATGTATTTTATTAGGGAGGACGTAGTGGGACACTTAAATTCTCAATGCAATCAGGCGGAGTCAGCAAAGGGAATTGGATATAAAAGTAGGGATGTTTTGCTACAGTTGTATAGAGCATCATTAAGAGCAAGTCTGGAGTAGTGTTTACAGTTTTGATCTCCTTATTTGAGAGAAGATACAAATGCACTAAAGTTCAGAGAAGGCTTATTTAACTAATGCCTGGGGTAGGAGAGGGGTTTTGAGGGTTACTTTATGACAAATATTTTGACTAGGTGGGCTTCTATTCGTTGGAATTTGCAAGAAAACAAGGTGATCTTAATGAATCATTTAACATCTCAATCAAGGAATGGGTCTGGGTGGGATGCTCTGAGGGTCAGTGTGGACTTATTGGGCCGAAGGGCCTGTTTGCACACTGTAGGGATTCTATGGATTCTGTCAATGGGTTCAATGCGGGAAGGGTGGGAGAGACAATAATGAGGGGACACATTTTCGGAAATAAGGGCTGTTTCGTTTAACATGATGAGATTTTTTTCTGAGAATTGTAAGTCTTTGGAATTCCCTCCCTTGTAGAGAGCGGAAGCGGGATGACTGAATATACTTAAGACAGTGATATATTTTTGACTAGCACGTAAAGTATATATTTTATTGGGGATAAGTGGAAATGTGGAATTGAGACCACAATCAGAACAGCCGTAATCTTATTGAAAACTATAATATAATAATTTAGTGATACGTAATGCAATGTAAGACAGCCAGAATCTCTTATGAGCAATTTAAGATTTCCTTTCTTCTTGAGAGATGACTAATTTGGTTTAAATGGCTGCATGAGAAATAGTTTATACATACTTTATTAAGGCATCCTGAGAATTTGTTTACGACGTTTGGCATTTGTGACAGCAGAAACTATAGTATCATGGGTGGAAAATGGCTGTTAAACGGGAAAAAGAGTTGGGGAAAATTGATATTGTTTATATTCGAGCTATGCATTCCTGGGAGTCGCTACCAGATTGACTTCCATCTTGTGTACTACTTTTACGATCTCCGTAGAGACCATATTTTTAAGAAAAATTTGACCTTTCAGTTAAAAGCTGAAGAAATAACACCTCAAGATTTCATATTTTCAAATTTTAGTGTAAGAAATAGCTGAGAAAAGTGCTGTTGGCCAAACACTGTTTTCTTTTCTTGTTAACTTTACCTTAAGCGATGAAAATAAACCATTCCTTGTCAGCTACCTTATGTCACACTCTCCATAGAATTACTGTTCATGTATCAAACAGTTTACAGTTATTCCCAACTGCCTTTTCACTTTTCCAGCTAGATCACTTCTACGCATAGAACCATCTCTCACTGTGAGAGTTACACTGCAGATCTCTTCCTCTAGCTGCAAGCTTGACAATACTTAAAATCTTCATTGAGTCCTCACAATTGGGATCTTGAATCCGAGCTGTGTTCTCAGCTAAGTTTTATATGGTGCACAATAGGGTCAGCATTTTCTCTTTTTAAAGTGCAAGCCAAGCTGGCTTTATTATTTGCTGTCTAGCTCTTAGTTGGCAGAAAATCACATGAGGCAAAACTGCAATTGAAATAGGGGAGAGAAGCCTGTAACCTGATTTCAAAATAGCTGCTTCTTCCCCATCGCAACAGGAAGCATGTTAACTTTTAACCAAAATAGAAATACTGATTAGTTTTCGATGATTCCCAATTCACTTTCACCTTAAAAGTAAGTAGGTAGTTTACAGCACCACTGTTTACAATTTGATACCTTTTGACATCTTTCTGGGACCTTGGAAAATTCAGGGTCCGTTCATCTGTGCTCAGGAATCTGTGGTCATTGTCTCCGAACCTAACACCTTCCTCTCAAAGAAACAATTATTGCTAAAAAGAGACAGAGTGGAAGCTTTTTCAATTGCACTCATGAGGACTGAGACTCCAGAAACAAAGCTTTGAAAGGGAATATAAGTTTGATTTCTTGTTTCTCAGTCCTGAGAAATGTGTGATGAAAAGTTTTGACTCTTTGAATAAGTTCAAGGCTAAAACATTGCTAATTACTCAACCTCCCCAACTTCCTGCGGTAGAAGATTCCAAGCATTCGTAGCCCTCGAGAATAAATGTCTCTTCATTTCGATTTTTAAACCAGCAACTTCATTTTCTGAAACAATGCTCGCCAGTTTTCGATTCCTCCAGCAATACGTTCTGTCGGCAACTACTCTGTCAAATCTTTCAATCTTGTATTTCAACAATGTCATCTAAATTCCAATGAAATCTGATTAACGTGCTTGACTATTGTGCATAAGATAACACTTTCATCCTAGGAATCAACTTTGCGAATCTCCTCTGAACTGCATCATAAAGGATTGAATAAGGATACCAATATTGCATGCAATATGCTGGATGTGGTCTCACTGATGTCTTTTTGTAGCAAGAGCTCCCTATTTTTAAATTTCATCTTCCTGACAATAAAATCTAACGTTCTCTTTGCCCACCGAATTGCCTGCAGTACCTGCGTGTTAACCTTTTTCTGATTTATGTAGGAGGGCACCCAAATCCTTCCGCAGCACATCATTCTGCAGTATTGTAGCAATAACATAGTTTGCTTCTCTTTTGAAAGTTCCACCCTACACCCCATTTTCTTCTATTGTTATGATACTTGTGTTGTTTTTGACAATGAAGAAAGCTGTGAAATATTTGTTCAAAATCTGCGCCATTTCCTTGCTTCCCATTTTTTTAATAAAATCACGAGGGGCAAGATAACATGAAAAGCAAGGTGGAGGATTTCAAAACTAGGGGACTTTTTTTAAGGTGAGAGGAGAAAGACTTAAAAAGGACATGAGGGGCACCTTTTTTTACACAAAGTGGTTAGTGTGTGGAACGAACTGTCAGAGGAAGTAGTGGATGCGGGTACAGTTTTAATGTTTAAAAGACACTTAGATAAATACATGAATAGGAAAGGCATGGAGGGATATGGACCAAAAGCGGGGAAGTGGAATTCCTTTGGTTTGAGAACATGGTCAGCGAGGACTAGTTGGACCGAAGGGTCTGTTTCCATTATGTACGACTCTAGGCTCATTCTTGGGGGATTCCAACATTTACTCGACCTTCTCTTTTCGCCTTTCTTTTTGTAAACTTGTAGAAACTCTTCCTATCTTTTTGTTTATGTTTCTTCTATTGAATATTACTGAAAAAAATACGAAATTTGTCAATGCTTTTCATTTTGTGCTCATCAAGACATGTTTTTAAGAACACAAATTCAAAGGGAAGTCAACAAATTTATACTGCATGAGAGGAGAGTGTTGATTGTTTGGCAGGTGGTCTCTGATTTGTAGAGGTATTTCCATGGAGAGTACACCTATTAAGTGCCAAATTTTAAATTTTGATTCAGGCGGTTGACTCTGATCAGTGCATTGCCAATGAACAGCTGTGCTTTCTTCTACATCCAGCTCATTTGCTGTTCCAAATTATTGAAGAAAGGAATACTTTGGCAGGAAGCATTGTGCACGCTGAAAGGATTGCAGCTTTGAAGGGAAAATAAGATAATTATTTGATTCAAAGGGTGATATCAGGCTCTGTAGTTTTGGATTGTCTGAGTAAAAGCCAGACCAGAAAGTTCTCTCACTAACTATTCTATGTTGGAAATTGAAATGTTTGCATGGTTAAAAGTATACGTTTGCAAAACATATTGAATATTTACCTAAGAGATTGCTATTCAATGCATTTTGAAATCATTTGAAATGATGATTTTCCAGGACCAGTCAGCTTCACCAGTTTCAATTTGCATACGCCTTCCTATAGGGATTCACTGCCAAGATTCAGTATGACACACTGTGACTTTAGGATGGATTAAAAAAATTATTATTTGTCTTTTTTGGCAATCTTGTAGGTCATTTGAGCAAGTTAAAACAAAAGCCCTCTTCCATTATAATATATCAAATTAAGCATAACAGATATTGTAATTTTATTTAATTTTGTTACATTTTCCTTTTTTTTTTAGACAATCAATTGATAATCTTGTTGGCTGATGTAAAAGCACCCTATTATAAGCCAAAACCCAAAGTGGTGCTGCAGCAGAGGTGAGTACCTATTTTGTATTACCTCTTTTTTTAATACATTTTTAAAGTAGAATGATTGATCATTTTCTTTCTCCTTTATTCCTTTCAGTGACCTGGTGATTACTAGTGTGGTACCAGGAGACTATGATGGGGACTCTCAAATGGATGTCCTACTCGCCCTTCATTCTAAGGATCACAGTGACAACACCAGCATTGTTATCTTCTGGGGAAATAATCAAACATTGGGTAAGCTTGTGCTTATTGCTAAATATACTTTGCTCTTTGCCCAAATTATATCATTCTTTCCGTATGAATCTTTCACTTTTCTTACTATGTTTCAAATTAAACCATGAAAGTAGTACACCAAACTGAGAGTTTAGAGTCAAGTATTTTGATTATTTATATTAATTTAAATGAAGAAACTTTGTTTTTAGACAAGCCTACTGCAAATTCAATGTTACTGTTTCTCTGTACAGTTTACAATCAAGATACAACTATGTAATTGAGCAAATATAATCTCAACAGGATTGTCGCAAATCATGCTACCATTGAATATTTCACTTTGATTTGGGAGACGGTGGGATGGGGAGAAAACAAGTGAATAAATGTCATTATCTTTTAAGACTTCATAAAATTTTCTTTTGAATAGATTCTGTCAAGATCTCAGGATGTCTCATTGCTTTACAGCCAATTAAGTCACTATTTGAAGTGATGTTATTGTTCTAATTTGGGAAACAGGACAGCAGCCTCCACGTAACAATGTCTCAGAAACTACAGTGTTATGATAGCTACATCGTTGTTTTTATAAATGCTAGCTGAAGAAAACTTTGGCAAGGACACAATAGAGAACTGCCTCCTCCTCCTTCAATGCTGGTCCATGGAATTTTTTTGTTTTGTTTACCTGAGAGGACAGACTGATCCTCTGTTTAATGTACCATCTAAAAGAAAGCAGCTGTAATGGTGTAATGCTCTTTCTGTACCACACTGAAGTGTCCTGCTAAATTTTGCACTCAAATTCTAGACTGGAAATTAAACCTTCAATCTTCTGATTTACGGGCAAGAATGTTACTAATTGAGCAGTAGAATTTCATTGTAGCTGGCTTCCTGAAAGTGGACCATCATAGTTCTTGCTTTGCCTGTTGATTTTGTACAACTGTAAACTTGTAAAACAGTTAAATTTTAACATTTATACTACACGAGTTTTCTGGTTGTATGTAAGTTCATTGTTTTTCTTTTTCTTTCTTAGATTCAAAACTCTTTACCAGTTTAAAGCACAGCTTTTTGGATGAACCACTAGTACTGGAGTAAGTATTCTCTTTGTCTCAACTGGTATTTGAATGTGACTACAAAACAGTGTAATTTGGTTGCTACCGTTAGCCTGTTATAATCCAAAGTAATGAAAATTATTTCTTCATGCCACCCCTTTTTAAAATTCCCTTGTGGGGAAAAAATAAAATTTGCTGAAATTTGCCTGTCAAATATTGGAATGTTTAAAAAACCTTTTTGAATAAGAATGCAAGTGTGTTGAATTGACTGATGTTTTTTGTTTTTATCTCGGTTGCTATGACTGTTGTGTTGCATATTGCCGAAGATCAAAAATAATGCTGAGTAATACTTTAGTGAGTGGGAGAAAAAAAGGGGATTTATCTACTGGGATTTTTTTTCTAAATCAGCAAATAGAAGGGTAGCAACAGCAAGTAAAATAAAAAGTGAAAATTTGGGAAGACGATGAAATTATCCACATGTCCCTTTTCCAAAATATTTTTGGATCACTGTCTTTAATTCAAAGTCCCAGATTTCTATTCATGCTAGTTCTTTTTTCCTTTTGACTATCTGAACGTACTTCCCTGCCTCATTAATTGAGACATTCTTCAGAAGTATTGAGATGTATTTAGACAAACATGTGAAACACCACAGCATTCAAGGCCTTGGGCCAAATGTTGGAAAGTGAGGTTAGAGTACATAGATGCTTCATGACTGACATGGACATCATGGGTCAAAGGATCTCTCTTCATGCTGTGAATCTCTGACTCTATTTGTACAACAACTATTGTTGATCCATTTGGTTTTGGGAGGGCCAAGTGCAGGAAGTTGGTACATTTACCCACTGAGTATTCAGTGCAACCAAGTGAACTACTCTGAATTTTATATATGTATTTTATATTATTTTTCTGTGAAGTTCAAATAGTATAATTGTGATCTAAAACAGAAAATAGCATAAACAATGCATTGATCAAAATGTTGAGGAATGATTACAGAGGGGTCTTCACGCTGATTTCCTTTGAATATTTTATTTCATTACAAGGGCTCTAATAATGAAGAAGCATGCTTGTCCATGTTGTCAAGAAAAACTATTCAGCCCTGACAGTGCTAGCAATTGTGCAAATGATAACCAGTTGGAACGTAATTCATTCTAAACAGGGAGTATAAATTATATTTTTATCTTGTTAATGTACTTTCCAATAGTCATTTTTGTAATGAATGTACCTTTTAACTTTTTGCAAATGTTGTAAAATTATTTTTGTAAATCTTCAAACAAATGTGTGAAAAGCAAAATGCTTGTTCGATGTTAACTATACTGGTTGTCGGTTATATGTAACTTGTTACGTATCCAATTGACATTGCATAAAGGTTGCTCTGCTTTCTACAATGCACTGTATTTATGAAACTTTGCCCTTCCCTCTCCTCAGAAAAAAAATTCACTTCACTTAATTTTATTTTAAAATGAAGCATGTCATAATGCAAGTTCATAAAGTAAATGTTACTTATGCTTTATGTAATTATGAGGTTGGGTATTTGTGCATCACACTGCCAGCCAAAAGTTACCAAAAAGTAGCATTTCAGAATTCTCAAACTGTTGGTTCAGCAGCAATTTAGATTCTGTTCTCATAAGTTCCTAAGGAATAGGGGAAGAATTGGGCCATCCAGCCCACCAAGTCTGCTCCACCATTCGATTTATGGCTGATGTGCTCCTCAACCCCATTTTTCTGCCTTCTCCCCGCAACCCTTCAACCCATTACCAATTAAAAATCTTTCAAACTGTCCCAGCATCCACCGCACTTTGGGGCAATGAATTCCGCAGATTCACCACCCTTTGGGAGAAGTAGTTTCTCCTCTATTCTGTTTTAGATTTGCTACCCATATCCTAAGACTATGACCTCGCGTCCTAGATTGCCCCACAAGAGGGAGCATCCGCTCCACATTTATTTTATCCATACATTTTATCATCTTGAATGCCTCAATTTGATCTCCCATCTTTCGTCTAAATTCCAGAGAGTGTATGGCTAAACTGTTCAATCTGTCTTCTTATGACAAACCCCTCATCTCTGGGATCAATCTCGTGAACCTCCTCTGAATTGCCTCCAATGCCACCACATCCTTCCTCAAATAAGGGGACCAAAACTCTGCACAATACTCCAGGTGTGTTCTCACCAATGCCAAATATTGTTGCAACAATACTTCCTTACCTTTTAATATTCTACTTCCTTTGCTATTAAAGATAACATTCCATTCACTTTCCTTATCTGCTGTACCTGAATGCTTGTTTTCTGTGACTCATGAACGAGGACACGCAGATCCATCTGCACTGGAGTACTCTGAAGTCTCCACATTTAGATAGTAGGTCACCTTCCCATTTTTCTGACCAAAATGCACGACCTTGCACTTTTCCATGTTAAACTCCATCTGCCACATTTTGGCCCACTCTCCTAACCTATCTCTATCCATTTGTAAGGTTCTTATGACCTCATTACTGTTTATTGTCCTGCCTGTTTTTGTGTCATCCACAAATATGGCTACAGAACCTTTTATCCTTGTATCCAAGTCTTTATAGTAGATTGTAAACAGTTGGGATCCAAGAACCAAACCATGTGGCATCCCATTTGTTACTACTTGCAATCCAGAAAAAAACTATGTAATCCAACTCTGTCTTCTGCCCTTCAGCCAGTCACCTATCCAAGCTAATAAATTACCCTTCAATCCATATGATCTAACCTTGTGAATTAACCGTTTATGCGGCACCTTGTGTAATGCCTTCCAGATGTCCAGATATATTACATCTACTGGATCCCCATTATCCACTTTGCTTGTTACGTCTTCGAAGGACTCGAGCAAATTAGTCAAATGTGATTTGCCCTGCATAAAACCATGCTAACTCTGATAGATAGCATTTTGACTTTCCAAATGTCCTCATACTGCTTCCTTAGTAATTGATTCTAACACTTTCCCAACAATAGATGTTAAGATAACTGGTCTGTAATTTCCCACGTATTGCCTCCCTTTTTGAATAGGGGCATTACATTAGCATTTTTCCAATCCACTGGAACCTTTCCTGTGTTCAGAGAATTTTGTAATATTGTAACCAAAGGACCCACTATCTCTCCCACCACTTCCTTTGATACCAAAGGATGTAGGCCATCAGGCCCGGGGAATTTGAGATAGTAGGAACTGCAGATGCTGGAGAATCCGAGACAACAAGGTGCAGGGCTGGATGAACACAGCAGGCCAAGCAGCATCATAGGAGCAGAGAGGCTGACGTTTCGGCCCTTGCTGAGTACCTTTACCCCATCGATGTTGATTGTTCTAAGTTCTACCCTTTCTATTGCCTCTGACTTGCCCGTTTCAATAGGAATAGAACTATTGTCCTTCACTGAAAACGGAGGCAACGTATTGATTTAGCATCTCTGCCATTTCAGTGTTATCCACTATTAACTCATGGGTTTCAAACTTCTAAAGGATCAACATTCACCTTAGCAACTCTGTTCCCTTGTATATACCTATGGAAGCTTTTGCTATCCTTTTCGATATTTTGTGCTAGTTTTCTTTCGTAATTTATCTTAGCTCTTTTTGCTAATATTTTAGTTTCCCTTTGTTTGAAAGTTTCCCAATCTTCCAGCCTGCCACTGGCTTTTGCAATATGTTATGCCTTATTTTTTGACTTTATATTGTCCTTGACCACCTTGTTTCATCATGGATATTTTTATAACCCCCCTTAGCATCTTTCTCCCTCACTGCGATATATTTTAGTTGCAAGAAATTGAGTAGCTCCTTAGACAACTGCCACTGCTCATCTACTCTCTTACCTTTTAGCTGTCCTGCCCAATCTACCCGGGTATAAATCTTGACCTCATGCCTGTGTAATTATCTTTGTTTAATTCTAGAACACTACTCATTCTCACCCCCAAACTTAAGTCTAAATTCATTCATACTATGGTCACTACTCCCTAAAGGATCCTTAACTATGATGTCATCAATTAATCTCTCTTCGTTACACAATACCAAAACCAGAGTAACCTGCTCCCTGGTTGGTTCCATAATATACTGCTCCAAGAAACAATCTCTAATACATTCAATGAACTCTGCCTCCAGGCCACCCTTGCCAATTTGATTCATCCAATCTATGTGCATGTTAAAATCACCCATGATTTTAGCCATACCTTTCTTGCAAACCTGTAGTATTTCATGGTTTATACTGTGCCCCACTGCAGAACTACTGTTTGGAGACCTACAGATTATTCCTACCAAGTACTTCTTCCCTTTGCTATTTCTTTTTCTACCCAGACTGATTCCACATCTTGATCTCCCGTGCTTATGTCATTTCTCGTTACAGCACTGATCGCTTCCTTCACCAACAAAGCTACACCACCTCCTTTTCCTTTCTGTCCATCCTTCTGAAATGCTGACTACCCTTGGATATTCAATTCCCCGACCTGGTCTTGTAACCATGTCTCAGCAATCTCTACCAAATCATACTGTTTTGTTTCTATTTGCACCATTTAACTCATTAATTTTGTTTCAAATGCTTCATGCATTTAGATACAAAGCTTTTAAATTTGTTCTACTGGTAAGTTTCCCTACTCTCTTTTTTATTATTCCTTGGTGCATAAAGACACTCACCTGCTCTCTCCTTTACCCTTTATTGTCTGGTAACCATCCAGCACATTGCTAGCCTGCACTCTTACCTCCTCCTTTAATTTGGGTTTTCTAATTTTCCCCTACATTATGAGGAAGAAGTATGTTTGTTTGTATTTTTGTAGTAAACAGTTTTATTACTAAGTTCGAAAATAAACATTCTGAAAATTTAGTTGTTGATGGCCATATTAAGCTTAGTGAATTCTGAGAATGAGGGGAATTTGAAGCTAAGTGATTTGAAAATTGCTGGCTATTCAAAAATCTAGCTTCATTTTTGTGAGAGATGTTTTTCCTGCATTTTGAAATTGATTATGTTAATTGGACTTTCAAGAAAACCAAATACAACTGAATAAATATGAAAAAGCAAAATTAATAAGTAAAATTCAAAAATACT